TAAAAAAGCTTTTTGTTCGTACATAATTTTAAATACTGGTACATCAATGCTGCTGTAGCTTTTAGTATGAATATAAACTTGTGAAAACTATAAGTTACGATAGTTTTTTTCCAATATTTTTTCCCTAATGTATAGGACAATCACTTTTAACATTATCATTTAAGATAGTGACCACTATTTTATTTTCATATCCATAGTGTATATGTTATTAATATTCTTTATTACGATAGTTAAATTTATAATTTTACATTTATGTTTGTTACTTAATAGTGAAATAAATTAAGTTCTCTAACATAAAAATTATAAGACTTAGGAACAAAGATTTTTATAAATTACCATTTACTCGTTCATAATAAATTAATAAATGTTAAAATTCTAAAATTATTAATTTTGATTAGTTTATTTATGTGAAATTTTTTCAGGTTACGAATATTATTTTATATTGTATATCCATGCTAAATACAAATTATAATAGTGTTTTCGGTTATATATATAAGGAAACAGTTACTAGGAAATCGTTTTGACATGATATACCAGCACAATTACAGCCTTCACATACAAAAGGGTGGACCAGACAACCACTCATATTTAGTATATATTTCTCTGTTTTGTTTGTTACCAATACTGAACCAAATGGTGTTCTTTTTTTTCATGTTTTGTTGGTCAATAGATAGCAGATAGAGAGAGGATTGTGAATATTAAATCAATTAAATAGCTGTTACTAATAACAATCACTTTCAGAATTAAAAGGAATGAGTTCATTGTAATAAATGAATCAATATCCCTTATTATCTTAAGATACTGTACGTTTTTTTTTTGCTAAGAATGTTAATTTCACAAACTATTTACCTATGACTCTCGTTTTATGACTCGTTATTCATGCTCCAGTTTTTAATGCTTTTTTACCTGAGTGTGTTTAAGATACAGTACGTTTTGATTCTTTTGAATATCACTCTAAAGATTATTTGACTTTTTATATTTGACTTCAGCATTATAAAACTTAATCAATTAAATGACTATTGATTAAAATCCATAAATCGGGCCCAAATAGACATAATTTGTAGTAAATAAATTTTTCGTCTTTATGATAAGATAATAAGATATTTTTTTATTTTCTTTTGTCATAATAATTTTATATAAAAACCAATATGATAATACAACCAATACATAATATAAGGCTCTGAATCCAAACACATGAAATACGAGATTCTGTCATTTCAAGCATAAAGCCATATCTTTATAAATAAATTTATAAATAAATTAGACTTTTTATATTTGGGAAAAGTGTCAATTTCGACCCAAACTAAGTCTGTCGTGCCAAATACGATTCGAACACATGGTCAGTGCCAAATACGACCTCAACTTAATTATAATTAAAAAAACTACCTAAACTTCTTAAAATGTGTCTAAATCTACATTGACTTTAACAGAAGTTAGTCAACCGTTAAGAAGATAAAACGACATCGTTTTCGTATATGAGGAAAAGTGACAATTTCGATCCCAGCGTGCCAAATATGACCGCAAGTCAATTATAATTTATCCCGTATATATTTTCATATATCATTATAATATATTTTAGAATTTTTAGAAGAATAATTTTTTTCATCTAAATATTTATTTTATGTTTTGCTTTAAACTAATTATTTAATTAATTAATAATTTAAAATAATAATATTTTTCTTTCTTTACTTAACAAAAACTATGAAGTTATCTCATATGATTATAACAAAATTTAACATAACAATAATGATATTCAGTTAAAAAAAATTATAGTCTCTATCATTTTTTAGTTTTAAATTAGTAAAATAAATTAAAAACTAACACTTATCACATAAAATTTAATTTGATAACTTTACTGATCAATGACTTAAATTTTTTTTACCAAAATAAAAATGATCATAAAACCATATTAGTAGAATAATTCACTAAATATATATTTACTAATCGCTTATAATAACAAAATATACCATAT